TTCATGTTCAAATTGTGAGCAAATTGTAAATCTGATCAATAATAACCAAGGTTAAAAGAGTTATCTGTGATGGCATAAAAGCTTCACAGGTAGCTCTCCGAGCATACCATGAAATTAAGAATAATTAGAGAAATAGATGATGACTATCTGGTGTGTAATTTATGTTTTTGGACAAACCTTCTCTCAAATATCACAAGAGTAGCAGAATCATCACAATTCAGAGAATGTTGAAAATTAGAAGGCAGATATACATATGAATCTACCTACATGACAGCCAGAATGATATCAGATTTTCTTCAGGAGTTACCTACAAAGTAAAAAATACATTCCTTTCTTAAAAGGAAGAAAATTCACCTTAACAGTATTGGAAGGAGCAGGCATATGTATAAACAGAAGATAAAAGGCTTTTGAATCGAGTAAACTGTTATTGCTGAAACTTGAAAGACAAAAGAACACTACTGCATTTAGCCAAAACTTTTCATTCCTACATGGTAAAACATAGTAAAGCAAGGGCACTATTGAAAAGAGCAAATACTAGCTTTAGCATGCTAATGTTGTACATAATCTAGCAAACCATACATCAATCACTCAGGTTATGCTGGTACTCCGACAAGCATTTCTTAATCAATGTATAGGCCCTTTACCCTTAGTTTGTTGCTAATGCCAGATGTATCACTGAGGGTGACAGTCCCCTGAATCACAAACACAAACCTACAAAAATGAGCATATTATAGGCATTAAAAATTAAATGCCAAAGAACAGTTAATTATCGAAATCAATCCAGTTGCTACATAGGAAACAAACATTCTTATAACTCTCAACGTCACAAGGGAGGAGGCCTGACCTTGAATTTTCTGCACAGGGTTTTCAATAACCATGAAAACAAAATTATGATATTAGACATACATGAACAGTAATTGAACTCACAGATTGCATCAGATGCAGCACAAGTATCTGAAAAGCAGAAAGAAACATAAACATCCAACTACACAAAAAGGATCAGAACTTGCGTTTTGGCCAGGTACATCACAAAGTGTGAGTCAATGGCTGGTGTGATTAAACATGCGCCAAATGTATTATTCCTGTCAAATAAATTAATTAAGATCACCATCACCATACCACTTGAAAAATGTCTAACTTTTTTTTT